ACCATTATATCATTTGATAAGTTTATCGGCTGAAGTGGCTACTCTTGGGATGCGGGGAAGATGTTTAGGTCCATGTGGACAGACACATTGGAACAAACTCCCAATGTATCTGTCCGGACTGGGGTGGTCTGATTGTGGGTGGTCTGACCCTTGGGGTTGGAACTGGTTTTGGTGCTGGGACCGGGGGTGGTGTTATTGGGGATCTTGCTGAGGGGGGTGTGTCGGAAGAGTTATACAGCCCCTTATCATCCATTTTCAGACTTTTACTAAGAATCTGAATAAGTGTGAGATAGAGATTCTCTAAGTGATGTTAGAGCCATGCAGATCAGAAGAAAATCACTCATTTTCAATGTAGAAGATATACTATTATTTCTTTTCTGGTATCTCTTCAGAATGGAAAATATTTGGAGTTTAATCTGTATGGTACTTCACAAACAGGATAGAATATTGAACACTACTATAGTAACTACTTGCCAACTGACGCCAAAATTAATAAAAGTGATAATGTTATCATCGTGAGTTTATAAGATCACAATGGCTTATATTGCAACAAATCTCCACGTAAATCTAATATTGTAATGGGTGCAGGCATTGATACAACGGAGCTTATTTAAGTTTTATCCTATCTGTTCTTATGGTTAGAACCCAAGGAAATTAGCATTTTCATTTGGCTGATCTGAAGGAATTACATTTCATTATAACCCCTACTGGCATCCATTACAGACCTACTGCAGATCTTTATGGCCCTAAGACTTCATTAATTAGGAACAATGGATGAATAATTTAGGGCTCTTATGATTTCGTGTTTGTTACAGAAACATGATTCAGGCTACGATATTATTTCCCTTAGTTGTTTTTAATAAATTTCTCAACACAGAGCGATATGTTAGATTCAAATTAAAGTGTGTAAACCTGGTCAGATTGGCTTAATCCAAGTCCTCATGAGGGGAGGCTTTGGCAAATAGACGTGCCCGCCATGAAGCAGGCTCTACCTCCAGAGTGCTCAGGTCAGTGTAGGCTGGAGCTCTCCATTTCTGCAGCTACTTCCCCTGTTTATTAGTTTACCACAAATCCACCTCACTACTAGACATCACAAATAATAACCCTTACATTTGGTCAAGTGCCTTTCCCATCATGTGGAAGTCTCAAAGCGCTTCACAGGATATAAAGTAAAATGGAGTAAGTGTTTTGTGGGAGAACACAGCAGCCAATCTGTGTGCAATAATATCCCACAAACAGCCATGAAGTGAATGACCAATTTTCAGGGGAGATTGTTGGCATGACACTATTAGTCAGCTCCATCACTCATGAAATCCAACTGAATCAAAATTCCGCCACCCATATTCTCAGGACCCCCATGACCGACCCCAGTTCTTGCTAGGCTCCACTGCGCTCCCTATTGCAGAATGGATCAATTTCAAGATCCCACATTTCACTTACAAATCAGTTTGTGTACCTCCCTACCTCTCCGATCTGCTTAGACTCCTCTACTTGCCTCCTTCACTCAGCTGTCTCCGGCCTTATAATAATAATAATAATATTTCTTACATTTGATATAGTGCCTTATTACATCGTTAAGACAACTCAAAGGGCTTCACAGAATGCAGTTAAGTGAATTGACTATATTTTGTAGACAAAACGTGGCAGCCAATTGCAGCAGTAATCCACAAACAGTCGTGGATTGGGACAGCAAATTTTTTAAGAGATTATTATTATCCCCAGAAAAACAATCTGCTAATCGACTAATAACCGGGTTCCTACTTACTGGTAGATAAACAGAGCCGTGTGAAGTAAGGAAACTTGCCTAAGGTTTCACCCTGGGTCCCAGGTCCTCTCGCTTACCAGGTGAGTCTTCTAACCATTACGCTACAAGACTCATAATGCACATGACTCGTCGCCTTCACTCTACCATCAGCAGTTATGCTTTCAGCCACTACACCCTGAAACGCAATCCCTCTGCCTTGCCCCCTCCTTGCCAATCTTTAGATTGGACCTGAAAACCTGCCTCTTTGAGCATGTCGATCATCACCTCCCTTGTCTACCCGGTTCGGAATCAAGCTCCACTGTTCTCTACCCACTCCTCACTCCCTCCCTTCCCTCCCCTCACCCTGACCATTTCGCCCCTGCTCGGGTCCCGACCCAACTGTACAGCGCCTTGGGACGTCCTCCCGACGTGAAAGGCGCTCTATAAATGAAATCTTGTTGTTGTTGTTTATCATTCCAAGACACTACCCTGCATAAAGGACACCACATAAATGCAAGTTGTTATTGATTCACAATTAGGAATTATTTTAGATTTTGTACTTTCTAAAGTGGGTTGCTACATGTTATTCTATAGTTCTTATCCTTAAGATTTTAAGAATATGTTTACTTAAGTGGTACATAGATATTTCAAATCACTCTTCCACCGCATTACTAGTCAAATTTGAATCTGCTTAATATATTGAGATGGTAGCTTCTCTAGGTGTACTGACCAACAATCCTCCAAATAAAATTTGTCATTCTATTCGTAGCTATTTGTGGGGCACTCCCGTGAGGTCAACCAACTAATGTGGTCAAAATTTCTCAGTCTATTTGTTGGCCTTCATATGTTTCTACTGGATATCAACCCACAAACAACTCCATTGTAACATTTTATTGCTGGTTCCTCAAATGCAAGGTATACTGATTGTAGATGGGACCTTAAATATGTTCCCTCACCAAAAGACATGAAGTGACCAGGGTCCCTTCTTGGAGAGCTCTGATGTGCTGGGTATGATGGAGTCTGACCATACCCTGCAGCTGCAAACGACAAACTACAACTTGCATTCCTACCCTCATAAATCATGCTCGAGACTAAATTACTTCCTAAATCAAAGAAGTCCACCTATCTCAAATATTGGACTGTGGATTGGTAACACTGCCATCTCAGACCATGTGCTTCTCACTATGAGATTCGAGTTGGAGAATCTTCCCCTAAAGATTCACTAACAGAGAATCAATACTTCCCTTCCAAGCGACTTGGAGTTTCTTGGTCCTCTGCACAGAATCTCTTCTTATAAGAAAACAAAAGCCCCAAAACCTCTCGCACTTTACTGTGGGAGACAGCCAAGGCAGTACTTAGATGCCCTATCATTCCTTCTCCTCAGCCTTTAATCGCTGTAAACCCCAACTTCTTTCAGTTTAATGTCAACAAATTGACTCCCCATCCTTGCTTCTGGCTCCAATTACCTCAACGTTCCAGGTTGCTCTTTCTCCACCTTGGTATTTTGTTCAACCCTCAGCTCTTTTTCCATCCTTACATCCAATCCTTGTTCAAGGCCTTTTCTTCACATATCCCATCGTCATCCCCAATACATCCAAAATCCTTATCCACACTTTTATGACCTCTAGCCTTGACTTCTGCAATGCCCTGCTTGCCAGCCTCCCAGCTCCTCCATCCTGAAGCTCCAGCTCATCCAGAATTCAACTGCTTCCATTTTGACGATACCAAACACTGCATATTCACAGCCACTATTGTAGGGATATCCTCCTAACTTTTGGAATTCCCTCCCTAAATCCGCTGCCTCGCCCTTCCCTCTCCATCTGTCTTTTAAAGCTTGCTGAAAACATACCTCTTTGACGATGCTTACAGTCACTTCCCTACTCCCACCCTGCTTGATGTCTGACATAATCTCTGTAAATATTAAAAGAAACACTGCCCTATTTGAAAGGCACTATATAAATGCAAGTTGTTGTTGCTGCTCCAGATCATACTTTCCCAGACTATTTTTAGTTCCAAACATGAAAACTTTGGTTCAGTATTTATCAAAGCTTGCAAAGCAAGACTGCTACTGTTTGACCAAGCTGCCCAAATAAAAGTTACTTCTACATCAGTAATGTTGCACTCTTTAATCACTGAATGCAGTTTCTTTTTAACATAGCGATTCACTGAAGGTGCTATTAAAATAAAAATCTTAAAGTTCTGGAAGCACACAAAACGTAGATGCGTAGACACACAAGTCCAAACCAGTCCAGGCTAAACAAATGAAGTCAAAAGGTCAATTCAAACATTCATAGGATTTGGCAAAAATGTAAATAAAGCTCATTATATAAGCAATAATAATCAATAAGCAGACAAAATCTGTCTGGTCCCAAGACTAAAACAACACATATACATAGGCTCAGAGCAAATGATGAACTTTTCTGTTCATAATGGAGCACTTAAACTTTACCTTAAGTGTTACCATTGCCCACTTATTTTTTCACTCCTAACCGTTGGAATCCATTAGGACAAATAGTCAGTCATTCTCAGGCTGTGGAGATATCGTTTTTCTTCAATTAAATAATAAAAGCATATTTCATGGCAGCATTTTAGTGTTAACTAAACAAAGTAAATGATACACCTAACATAAAAAGATACTCTTTTCCAAGTGAATTATATCATTTACATACAGTGGATATGTCAAGGTTACTTCTTACATTGATACATATTGAATTAACAAGTTCCCGTATACTGCTCCACATCATTTCCTGGTGAGGTTTTACTACCCCTGGTCAACATAGAGTAAAGGTTTTGCAGCAATGTTTGTAGTGCATATAAGTACTTTGGTGCGCTACAGGTGCAGTATCTTCAGTATGTACGCACATACCATGGACACCATGCTTCCATCAGCCGACCTCACAGCGACTTTAAAGCCTTTGAAAACTGTTTTTTACTGCAAAGGGAAGATAAACCAACTTTAAGATAAAGTCGATGTATTCTGCGCATGTAAAGAGAAGTGTAGAATCATGCTACATAATTAGTTAAAAGTACTGATGACCATTTCATACTTGCAATAATGAACCAATTTAGCCAATGCAAATTCAGTAAACATGCAATTTCAGCATTTCCAAAAGAAATTAAGATATTCTGTGAAGTGAAAAAAGCAAGTTATATTTTGCATCTTATAAATTACAGCCTATTAATCAGCAAAAAGCCATCTCATTAAAAAGGTACAGTGCCGTTATGAATTCTTATGTTATTTCAGTGCACCCCTTACCTTTTTATCTTTGCTTTTCTTGCTATTTTGTTGTATCCCAAACATTTTTTCCACACCAAACAATTTTCTTGTCAGTTCATCCTTTTGAGGTACAGCACGAAAAGGTTGTCCAAAGCCACTCCCAACTCGATACTTTTCTGTCTGAATCTTGCTCATTGGAGGGGGAAGATCCTGCTTCAGTGTACCACAATTAACACTGGACAATCCATCTGTAGACTCTGCATAGGACTCCTGATCACTACTGCTGCAGTACTGCCAATCTTTACGGATGTGAAGTGGAAGCCACTTTGGGTTTGCACATGGAGCATTGCCAGTTATATCAGCTTTCTTAGCTGAAGGAAAAGCAGACCATGCAGAAGTTCCTGGCACATCAAGTCGAGTAGAAGAGCCCATATGCCTATTACCATTATGCAAAGAGTAATCATTCTGTGCCAAATCTGATAGTCGAGGTGCATGAAATTTGCTTTCCAAGTCTGGACGGCAACCATTCCACTGGGAAGCAGTCTGTATTGGCCCTTTGTTTTGTGCACTTCCCCGTGCACCATTGGAGGCATGTTTGTTTGGGTTGGTTCCCAAGTCAACAACTAAAACTCTTCTGCTCTTTTCTTCCTGACTGTAGCATCCAATTCCACTATCACTGTTACTGCCAGTACTATTATTCTGCTGACCATCAGGTGCATATACATCCCCATCAAGGAAAGCTCTTGCACGCATGCTTTCAAACGACTCTCCTAGATCCTTGTACAGCACAGACACAAACTGAAGAACGGGTTGAGATGATGGAGGAAACTCTAAGCAGCCATTAGTATCTGTATCTGGTGTACAATCAATGTCAAAACGTCTAGCAATACCCTGATGAATTTTGTGCTGGCAGAGTTCGGGGTCCACCATAAAGACATGACATGAAGTCCTCAACCCACCTTCATTTTCCTTAGCAAAGTTATTATCGTCAGCTATTTGCATAGTAACCAAGCCAAAGAATCTTCGGTCATCAGGACACACAGCAGTAAAAGCCAATTTTTCTGCTGGGTACACAGCTAATACAGCATTTTTGTCATTGCAAAGTTTAATGCAGTCGTGCATTATTTTCATCAAAACAAGGGAATGAATCTTTTGCTCAGCACGCAAGCGTCGCATGCAGCCACGGATAGCCTGCAAGCTATCATTTTCCAAATTTGAACTTGTTGACGGTAATTCTATTGATCCCAAGTAGCCTACTATCATCCCAACGTTCAGAATATTAGAATCTAGGGCAAAATCATCTTGGCTTTCAAGGCCACTGGCAAACATCGAGTTATCATTTAGCACCTTCATTACTTCTTCCTCAGAGAGTGAATTGTGATTTGTTCCTGTATTGCCATGTCTGGTAGGAAATCCACTGACTGTTTCAGCTGTTTTTCTTTGCTGCTGTAAACAATTCCTGCTATGTTTGGCAGGAAGTTTGGAATTTTCAAAAAGCACATTGAAAATGCCACCTGACTGTATATCGGCAACTACCTTTTCAGCTCTGTTTAGACCAAAATGTTTTGATTTGGGCTTATTGTTCATCCATCCCCCTTTGCCTTCATTGAAATAAAGCTCTTCATCACTTGAACCTGTATCAGAGTGATTACTACTATCAGCAATCACAAGCTGCAGCACTCCTGTGCATTTTCCTATCAGTTTCACAACATCGTCATGGGAGGCTTTAGAGACATTAATATCATTGACACTAAGAATCCGATCTCCAGATCGAAGCCCAACATAATCTGCCGGGCTTCCTTTCAAAATGCAGCTTAGCACACATGGAGCTTGGCCAGAAAGTGTGAATCCATAACCTGTTCTTCCTCTGGCAACATCTACATTCCTCATTCGAATGGGAGCATTTGGGTTTAAACGACGTTTCACTTGATCAGCTTGTCTGTACATTGTTTGCATTCCAAAGTTACCAGAATTACAACCACTGTTATATTTCACACTTCATAGGAATCGCTGAAGCCAGCAGTTGGTAAGTATTTTAAGAAAATAATTCATTGTAGCTGTATCTTGAAGTCTCACTGCACCTTATTCCAAACTTCAAAAACACCTGGAACAAAAAAGGGATACTTACATCAAACCAATTCTATATATTTTATAGCTAAAAATTAAGCTAAGCTTTTTAAAAAAGTTATTATGGAATTTATCTGTCTTTCTACGAATACAGATGCCTTGTGTAAACCAACTTTTGGATTTTTAATGAAGTAAAGATCTAATAAAAATTCAAATAAAATACATAGACAAGAACTTAAAATAAATGTAAGAGATACTGACTTCTGTTCTTGTCAACAAGTTGTAATCTTACTTGCATGTGTATAACTGGATTTTTTTGGCCAGTAGTGCAAATGAAACTATTCATAGTTTTTTTTTAATATAAGTTTGTCAGAGAAATAAGAGACAGGAATATAGATAAATCAGGGGAAGAGAGAAAATGAGAGAAAACGAATGACAGTGAGAAACCTTTAGAGAAAGTGACAAAGAGAGAGACAGAATGGCAGAGAAGGGTTGGCACAATGTGGTATTATTTATGGTGACAATGCAACTCCTGTTGGAACAATTATTTTATTTAGAACTGTAGCCAATTTGTAATTTGTCTAATACAAGTGATCTTTTCTGCACAATGTACCAGTCTCAATTATTCAGCTCTTTACTATACATAGATTCTTGAAAAATAACATTAAAAGAATGAGGAGTAAGCAGGAGTGGAATTTATTAAGTGACAAAGACATATGTAGAGAAGAACACCAACATAGACAGACTTGATGGGTCAACTGGCCTGTTACTATGTTATGTTACATTTTATCCTATTCCAGATAATGAGCTGAAGTTGTGATGTGGAGGGCTTGAACCCACAACTTTCTGACAAGAATGCTACCAATTGAACCAAACTGATATAAAAGACAAGCATAAATACCGAACTGTTCAAACATTCAAAAGCCCTCAGTTAAAAAAATCAAGTCTCCAAAACATAGTTTATCCTAGATTTAAATAAAATATTTTTATCCTAGATATAGATCCGAGACCAACCAGAAAAACTCTAGTAGATACAGTACTTAGGTATTGTCAGAAAAAAATGCCACAAACTAGTGTACATCATAGAGATGGCGAGATATAAATACAGCGAAAGATATACTAGTCAATGTACAGCCCTGCAAATGTACTTTTAACTGATGATAGTAATTATAAATTCTCCCGATTACAGGCTATATTAGATGGCGTTCTCAACTATGGAAACTATCTGCAATTTGATTTAACCACAGTGTTCAAATCCTACAGAGGAATATTTGTTGAGCAGTTAGATCCACAATAAAACGCTGAATCAACACTCATCCGGCTACTCCCTGCAGTGAGTGGGTCCATTGAGTGCGTAAACCTTGTCTGCAGCAGAAATTCAACGGATCACACATACACAAACACCAGGCATCGTGCAGTAATTAGGTAACAACTTCCCTTTCGTACACAAATAAACAAAGTACAGTACAACACGTATTCCTGGAAAGTTAACTGCGACTTTCATTACATCTGAGCTTGTTTGAGAAAGTTTGATCGGCGAAACGGCAAAGTTGATGGTATTCCCAGCTCCCACCTCACTTTTTTTTCAGCTTTTTTCCCCCTCTCCCCCTTTTTTTCGGGGACCCTCGCTGCTGCAGCGCTCACACCCTAACGACAACGGACGCCCTCGCCTCGCCCCCCCCCCCTTTGACGGCAGCGATTGGCCGACAATGCCGTCACTCAGAACACGTCCGCCTGTGATTAGCGGATTGAGCTGTCACTCACTTCAAAGTCAGTTTACACCGCCAGATTAGATTGCTCCAAACAGCACCCCCCCACCTCCCCACTTCCCCGAAATAGAGTGGGTGGGGGGAGAAAAAAAGAGCAATAAAGGAGCTTTTCTGATCCCGAATTTGTAACATAGATATGCAACGCAATTGGCTTCTTAAAAAGTGGGGAAGAGGAATGTGTCCCACAGAGAGAGGGGGGGGGGGGGGGGCGGTAAGAGAGAAAGAAAGGAGAAAAGAGAGAAAGGAACAAAAAGGAAAGTACAAAAGAGTTGGAAGTTATTCTGATCCTCGATTAGTATGGGTCTTCCTTTAGAAGCAGTCAAACCAGCAACATTGTAATGCAATCGAGGGTTTTCTTAAATAAAATAGTGGGGGGGAGAAGAATGCGTCCTCCCGACAAAGAAAGAAGAGAGAGAGAGAGAGAGAGAAGTGAACAAACAAAAAGAGTTGGAAGTTTTCCTGGTCCTGAACTAGACACCCCACCCCCCCCCCCCCCCCCGCCCCCCTTTTTTTTAAAAAAATAGCAAAAACCAACAGATTTGTAACATAATCGACGTCTTTTTTATTAAAAAAAAAGGGGGGGAATGCGCCCTACAATCCGGCGGATCAAAATAACGTTTTAACCAAACAACCACATATACAGACGGGTTTGACTTTCCCAATCCCCCCCCAGCCCACCCGCTCTATGTGGGTCTCTCGTTCTCCCTCTCTTCTGTACAAATACGTTTATAAAAAAAAGCTTTTAAAATATATATCACACACACACACACACATATAGTCGTAAATACGATCACTGGTTAAATCAAATATATATATATATATATATAATCCTATATTTAAAATATCCTGTCTTTCTTATATAAAAAAAAGAAACAAAAACAGGGGGGAAAGTGTTAGCTGAACGTGATGCATTAAAAAAACTTTACTGGAAGAGTCGGTGGTGGTTTGGTGGTGGGGGGGGGGGGTGGGGGGGGTCGGGTGGAGATGGGGAAGGGGTAGATTTGCGGATCATTGGTTTGAAAACTCGGCTACGAAACCGCTTCGCAACCGTTGTCAACTGAAACAAACAATAGCCGCATTCGTTGACGAGGGACGGGGGTCGTTTTGTTCTGTATTAAAAAGGTTTTACCTGGAAACCTAAAACCGGGGGGACCTGACCGCCCGGTGCACTGAACTCCTAAACCCAAACCATGGTGTTTTGTGTGTGTGTATATATATATATACACACACACACACACACGTATTCACAAAAAACAAAACACAACTTTTTAGACGGGAAAAAAAACGCATCGAAGAAACAACGAAAGAGAACACCAAAGGGGCAGAGCTCACCTCACCTCCACCGCCCGTGGGGGTCGGGTCGCTCGGGCACTGGAACCGGACCGTTAAAATCCGCCGTTTATTTTTAAACTCCGAGCTGGAGCGGCGCGCGGGGGGGGGGGGGGGGGGGGGGGGGGGGGGGGGGGGCGGCAACGGTCTCAGCGCCGGGGTCACGTGAGCCTCGCTCTCTGCCAACCGCCGGAGCTCCAGGTGCCTCGCGCCGCGTCGCGGACGCCAGCGCGCGGGCAGCACTACAACAACAACAACAACAACAACAAGATAATAATAATAATAGTAATAATAATAATCCTTGCATTTGATATAGCGCTTTTCACGTCGGGAGGACGTCCCAAAGCGCTTCACAGAACACACTGTAAAGTGAATTGACTGTATATTTGTGGGCGAACGCGGCAGCCAATTGCGCACAGCAATGTCCCACAAACAGTCGTAGATTGAAAATGACCAATTTATTATTGTTTTTTTTTGGAGCGATTATTATTAGGCTCTGTGTGGAGTAAGGAAACTTGCCCAAGGTTTCGCCCTCTGCCTGGAATTGAACTCAGGTCTCTCACTTGCAAAGCGAGTGCTCTAACCACTGAGCTACAGGACTCCACGGGGCCCGAGCATGGAGGAGGGGGGTTCTAGGGGTGAGGGAAGGCAGGGAGGTGGGAGGGCGACCAAAGAGAAGGGCCACGGAGCCTGGTGCGTGAGAGTACATGAGCTGCAGAGTTTCGGATGATCTGCAGGTTGTGAAGGGAAGAGTTGGGAAGGCCGATGAGGAAGGAGTTCCCGTAATCGAGCCTTGATGTGACGAATGTGTGGGTGAGGGTTTCGGAGCCTGAGGGGTGAGGCAGTGGCGGAGTCTGGCAATATTGTGGAGGTGGTGGTAGGCAATGCCGGTCATGGAGCAGATGTGGGGGAGAGAGGACAGTTCAGGGTCAAACAGGACACCCAGGTTCCTGACTGGGTTAGTGAGGTTGAGTGTGCAGCCGTGGAGGCTGATGCTGCCAGTGCCTGAGGTGCGGAGGTGCTGGCACGAGCCAGTCAGGAGGGCCTCGCTGTTGCTGATGTTGAGTTGGAGAAAGTTGTCCCTCATCCCAGACTTGATGTTGGACACGCAGTCGGTCAGGACCCCAGTAGTCCTGCAGTTCAGGGTGGAGGCAGAGAGATGGCGTTGGGTGTCATCCGCATACATGTGGAAGTTGACCCCATGTCTGTGGATGATGTCACCAAGAGGGAGCATGTAGAGGGTGAAGAGGAGGCGCCCGAGGACAGGGCCCTGAGGAACACCGTACAAGACGGTGCGGGGGCTGGAGGGGAAGCCATTTGCAGAAACAAAGTGGAGGCGGTGTCAAAGGTAGGACCTGAACCAGTCAAGGACAGAACCTTGACGTTGAGGTGGGAAGAGAGGTGGTGGAGGAGGATTGAGTGGTCCACAGTATCAAAGGCGGTGGAGAGGTCGAGGAGGCAGAGGGAGCCCTGGTCACACATGGTCAGGATGTCGCTTGTGACCTTGACCAGTTTCCGTACTGTGGGCAGCACAGAAACCCGATTGGAGGGGTTCATGGAGGGAGTGAGAGGAGAGGAAAGAGCGAAGCTGGGAGGCAACGGCTCTCTCAAGGACCTTGGATAGGAAGGGGAGATTTGAGATGGGCCGGTAGCTGGATAGCTGTGATGGGTCGAGGGAAGGTTTCTTCAAGGTGGGGGTGATAGTGTCTGTTTTAGGGGGGAAGGAACAGTGCCAGATGACAGGAAGAGTTAATGATGTCGGCGAGTAATGGGGCACGGAGGTGGAGCTGGGATTTAAGGAGAGGGGTAGGGATGGGGTCCAGGGAGCAGGTGGTGGGCTTCATGGAGGATATGGTGGTGATGACAGAGGAGGGGTGACAGGTTCAAAGGTGTGGAAGGAGGGATGGGTAGTGGTCGGAGTGTGGGGGGGTAGGGAGGGGGTGGAAGTTGGGAGGGCGGTGGCAACTGAGCGGATTCCCTTGAAAGAGCTCAACACTGGGTCAGACAGTCCCAGAGCCCCTCCCACCCCCTTGCAGGTTACCCCGGAGACACGTTCCAGCTGAAAATGCAAGTTGTTGCTGGCTTCCAGTGGTTATACAAGTTCCAGAAGTTGCATTATAATAATACGATAATACTTGCATTTGACATAGTACCTTATCACGTCTTAAAGCGCTTCACAGGATAAGCTGTAAAGTGTAGTGACTGGGTATTTTGTGGGTGAAACGCAGCAGCCAATTGCGCACAGCAGTGTCCCACAAACAGTCATGGATTGAGTGACCAAATTATTATGTATTTATTTCTTTTTTGAAGGGATTATTATTCCCGGAAAGCGATCCACCAATCGACTAACAACTGGGTTCCTACTTACTGCTAAGTAAACCGGCGTTAGATACAATATATCGTTTTAGACATGACATGCGACTGCCAGGATGGTGGAAGGTGAACTGGGTGGACCTTAATCTTCTTTCACCAAGCAAACTCTTATGCAATTTTTAGCTCTTGCTTCACAAAGACCAAAAAGACTTGGTCAGATCAGATCAAATCAGATGAATCACAGTCATCAGTGACTAGTCGGTGCTGCTAATAAGACAGACTTGGCTACATTACCAGTTGCTCTTAGAGTATTATGGTTACATGTAGTTTTTTTTTGCATATCAGCAAATGCAGCAGTCATGTTGTGGACCCCATCCAAAGGACCTCTGACAATGCAGTAATCCGGAGTGTCAGTTTGGGTAGAGTTCAAGTCATGGTACAAGTTGAACGTATAATCTTCTGACCCTGAATGAAGAGGCACGAGTGCTAGTAACAGAGCCAAGCTAATACCCAATAAACAAAGACTTAAGAATAAAGGCTTGCGCATTATTTTATTTTACATTTTTTATTTTAAATATTTTCTTAGTAAATTTTGTAAGGAGCTTGTGCACATTCCTACACTCATCTCCAAGGGAAGTTATTCTTTAGACCAGAAAGGATTATGTTTGCAGTGTTCTGTATAAAGTTCAATCCGACTTCCCTGGAATAAAACAATGTACACTAGAATCAGAGGAACTCACATGGGGAAGGAGGAGACTTAGCGCCCACAGTGCTGACTCTACAATAAATGCGTGTCAGATTTGTAAAGTCAAAATCTGATGCTCTTGGACTGGAGGGATGCTGTGGAAGTCTAGACTAACACTAAACCCACTATACCCCTTCAAGTGGTGGCCCCTAGATTGGTTTAAATTCCTTAAATGCCAATTCCTACCCTGTAAAGTGTTGAGTCTGGATGAGTGTTATTTTATATTAATACATGCTAACTAAGTGCCTTGTCTCTGGCCCTGAATGATGAATTAACGTATTTCATTACCACTTCAGGTGCTTAAGGCAAAATACCTCAGCAATGCTGGTATTCATTAAATGTTATGTATTGGAAGATACCCGAGCAAGGCAATGATTGCTGACCATATTTTAAAATCCCCTGGGAGGATCAATAATTTCCAGATGCCAACAAAGCATATCAAATGAAAACTTTGATTTGCAAAGAAAATAGAAATATGAGTAAGCTGACCCAATTAGAATTATGAAACCTACT